GTTAGTCTCTAAGGTGCCACAAGTACTCCTGTTCTTCCTTTTCATTTACTGATTCCATTATTACAATCACAAACAAAAAAGTGTAATGCCACTGATATACATATCTAAAGCAAAAAGGGAACTAGGAGCCAAGCATTAAATATTTAATTACAGGAAGAAATCTGTTAGGGCCTAAAGTGTGTTTTATTTAATAAAAGAAGTTTCTCCCCCTCCTCCAGAAGATACTCCATCTTAATGTCTCTATGACAGTCTTCATTCATGTACACCCCCACATCAACGTTGTGTCCTTAATGTGCCTAATCAAGGATAAAACTCCTAACACTATATTATACTTATATTGTAAACTCTTTGTGGCAGGAACTTTTTGTTGTTTGTAAAACACTTAACACAATGGGGCCCCAGTCCTAACTGGGGGTTCTGAGTGCTACCCCAATATAAAAACAACTATTTGGGGGACTCGGAGAGGTAGGGTCACTGTTGAACAGTGCGGAACTGTGAAGATATGAGGCTCAGCTCATAAGAGGTGAGAGAACAGTGGGTTATTAAGTCACCCCATCTCCCTCAAATACTACAGTTATGTGGACCATATAAGTATCCAAATAGATTACATAATGCTCAGAAGATTTTTGTGAGCTCTAGAAGTCACACCCAATTTTCTTTGGGCACAGGGAAAGCAACCATGATGGTGGTTTTGGAATATTATTGTGGAACATTAAAGAAGGAAACATTGAGTTTTGTAGAGAATTTTTCTTATTATTTGTATTGTTTTTAGACGCCTCAACCCAGACACTGTGCAGACATATAGTAAAAACCAGTCACTGCCTTCAAGAATTTATAATCTAAAACCATTCTGAAAAAGAAACATCAAGCTTCTGCCACCTCCTTCCTACTGATGCAGAGTCTTTGTTCTACTTTGGCAATGAGAGGATCTGCAGTTCCGAATTAATTGCAGGATTCATTTTAAAGCAACTTTAAAATACATTTTACACTCATCACAGATTCTGTGCTGCGCTGTTGAATAAAATTTAATATTTCACTCAATGTTTCTTTTGAAAGCTCCCTAATTTAAACTGTTACTGGTAACTAGACAGCAGTAGTCCCAAGGGGAGGAGCTAGACTATTTGATGGGGTCTGTCTCTCTCATTCACAAGATTCTTGCATGACAAGGGATGGACAATCTGGTGGAACCTGCTTACCTCTGAAAAATTAACTGCCAAGGGGATAATCCCCGCCACATAACAGCCAACCAGCATAGCCAGAGACAGCAGACTGATGGAGATGAAATCATCCATGTTGTTGCTTTTTGTCCACTCTCTTAAAGTGAAATTTAACTTTTCTAGCTTTTACTGCATGTAGTTTTTCAACTTGTGCAGGTGTTGCGGCTCCAGCAGAATCATGAAGGTCAGAGGCGCCTTTTCCCCAGTGGTGCCACAAACTCCCTCCCTCCCCCAAGAGCTACGTGAGAGAGAGACACCCCGCTTTCCTGACCCTGATCCCTGGATCTGTCAACAGCAACTGGGATACCACGATTCACTCCCTCTCGCCACCTCCCCTGTCAAGGGCCACAGGGGATTAAGCCACCCCCGGGGAAGCGGAAAGACCCTTTCTCTCCCACAGCCTGGGGGCAGGGGACACCTTTCCGCACGGGTGAGAGAAGGGCCCACCCCGCTCACAGATTATACCAGCCCCAGGTGCAACAGAAAGGCCGCTCGCCCCGAAACACAGGGCCAGTCAGCAGCTCCCTGGAGGGAGCCTGGCCCTTCCTACCAGCCCCAGGGAGACGCCGGCAGCGCCTTCGCCTTCCCCTGCTGGCCCCTGGTCTCGGCGGACGGGGAGGGGAGGGGAGCGGTTCAGCGAGGAGCTCAGGCTTCAGGCTTCAGGCTCCCCTTTGCGCCCGGCGTCCCCCGCGGCTGCCATGGAGGCCAAGTGGCAGCTCCGCAGTCAGACACTTCCCCTTCCCGAGAACAGCTTCCGGGTTAGCGGCCTGAGCCTCTCCTGGGGGCTGGGGCGGAACGGAGCGTCTTTCTCACGTGACTCACTTTCTGTCGCCACTTCCCGCCCGATTCCAATATGGCGGACAAATAATCACTAAGGGGCCATGTTGGAAGGGGGTGAGAGGCACAAAGGCGCTGATAGGATACGGTGCCCCTATCAAAGATGACTGCTAAAGTCTCAAAGAACGGCGCCGTTATGCCCCGCCCAGAATACGCAACGCCGGCGAACGCTTTGCCATGTGGTTTTCTCGCGAGAGTTTCTTTATAGCACTGGCGGCGCTCTGGTCTGGTTCCGTGATGTCTATGGTAGGGAGCTAGGGGCTGGTTGGCGGTTGGTGGAGTGTTTCCGGTTAGCGCGGGGGATTGCGGGTGACCGTTGGGAACTGTTAGTTCGGGACCGTCACAGTCAGCGGGGCTGTGGAGAACGAGTCGCCATGGTGAGGAGGGGAAGTTCCCGGCGTGCGGGGAGGAACCGGGTCGGTCGGGCCGCGCCATAGTGGCGGCGGGAATGAGTCTGCTGAGGGCGACGTAGCGCTGCGGCCTGGCGGAGTCCCCAGCCGCGTGTCTCCTCCCGCCCCCCTCTCCAGGGCTGGGGAC